TGTATAATGTGTTATACACTCTACTCTCATGTATATCTAAAAAGAACAAATAAAATAAATGAAAGAAAATATCACCTTACAATGCATGATCACACTTGATTTTATTTCTATGCCTCTATGAATTGTTTTAATTAAATTTTTTTTTTATATATAGGAATTTAGTTTTGTATATTGGCACCTTTACTAAATTTAATTAATTTTGATAAATTATACATATAATTTTTTGGGTTTGGGGTTTTCCTCATACTCAATTATTTACTATAAATAGAAGTATTTATTACTAATATATCTTTTTTTTCTGACCTTAATATACCAACTGGAATCTGAATAGAATGCTAAATAAAAGTGGTGATAGATTCCTAATCTCAAAAAGGGAAACCTTTTAGTATTGAATATTTTACCATTGTGATATATACTAGGCCTTTGCAAATTAGGGAAACTGTGCTGGCTTGCTGAGATTATTTTTAGAATATAAATGGACATTAAGTTTTGTAAATTTTTTGCATCTATTTAGATAATTTTGTTATGTTTTCCTTATAATTTGCTAATTTGTTAAATTACTTCCATAGATTTGCTAAGCCAGGTGTATATTCCTAGGGTTTCAGCAGGTATAGACTCACTATCTTAAGTCTATCTAAGTTCTGCAGTTTTTCCAAGTTTACATTACATCATGGACATAATGCTTACAGTCTTTATCTAACATACACACTAATTAATATACTCCACAATCAATAATCCTATAACATTTTCTGGTACTTATATCTGATGTCTTGTCCCTTTTATAGATTCTAGGTTTCCTTTCTTCTAATGTCCACTCCTCTTATCTTGCCTACAAAACCAAAAGCCTGCCCAGAGGGTACCTCTCCCTATTTTCCACCTCTGCCCAGAAAGGCTGGAAGGAAGCCACCCAGGGGGCATTCATTATCAACTCCTGGTGGTAGAACAATTAATTCCCTGGAGGCAGTTGCCAACTGGTTAGGAGGAGGGGGAAGTATTTTGAGATATTAGCATTTTATTTCTTTTTTAATTGCCCCCCCTCCGCCCCCGCCCCAACCCAACTGTTCTTTATCTAAACTGACTACCTAACCTTTTGCCCTGGTCTCAATCCCCTCTCTGATTAAGGGTACCCTTACTACTGTAAGGGAAAATGGACGATGACCACTCTGGCTTTAGCTGTGCTTTAAGTAGACTCTATAATATGATATGATGGTAGGTCCTGAGAGGGAGAATTTAGAAGAAGGAAACTTGTTAGGAAGATTTTCACTATTATTTAATCAAAAGGAGATAGATTACAAAAATATAACCATAGCATCAAACCTGTCCATGTATTAACCAGTAAAAGATGACAGATGAAAGAAAAATTCCAAGGTGATTCAAAGAATAAAAGTCTAGGCAATTGGGACAATAGCACTTTCATTTGCAAACACAATGAAAATGAGCAGGTTGCAAGGAAAGATTAAAAATATGATTTTTAACATACTGAGTTTGAATTTTATATGGCAGGAAGGACAGCCAGCTGGAAATGTCAATTTGAGATGGTTTGAACTATAAATGTACATTTGGGAATCATCTGCATGTGATAGTTGGAATCCTGAGAGTGAATCAGCTCAAAGTATGGAAAGAAAAAACTATTCAGAGAAATACCTAGAGGAATGGATAGCTGTTTAGTGGAAGACGGGGAGATAACAAAAGAGAAACTATAAAGGGGATATAGCAGAAAATAATGGAATTGAAATTTCTCATAGCTTTTGAAATTTAGGAAATTTTTTCAGCAAGTTATTTGACTGGGTTTTCTGAAACAGATACTATTGCCATTTTTGGAAAGAATATTTTGGTGCCCTTCTTATTAACGTAATCTGCTGTGTTAACATAAATAACATATTAAAATTATCTATATTTCGGAGTTCAGTTTTGACCCTTATGAACAGATTTTGCTGTTTTTCTTTCTATGGAAAGAAACGTATTGCAGTCATTCAGAGCTTCTTTCACCAAACACATAGGAATAGATACATTACCAACCATTACAGGTGCCCTGTTTTACACATAGAATATCAAGGTGCTGATATTATTTTCTAGTTAAAGCTTTGTCTGAAGAGTAAAACCTTCACTATGTTAAATTTGTGGCCTTTGATGTTCCATAAGAGCCCCCCAAAATAGAAGTTCAGTGCTGATAATGCTTTGGTGTTAATCATAATTGTAGTTAGATTGATTAACATGAACTGAATGATCTTGCCATATATAGTGTTACTTTTTTAAATGCATTTATTTATTTAACAATGCTTACTGAGTGCTGTCGTTGGGTACTTGGGATAGGTTCATAAATAAAGCAAACAGGTTATTGACCTCATATATCTTTTATTTAGTGATGACAGGTATAATAACCAATAAAGTAAAAGATAAAGTATATGAACTGTAAAAATATAGTAAATAGTATGGCAAAAATACAGCAATATAAGGTCTATCAGGAATGCTAGTTTGGGGTTGGGTGATTGAGATAGGCTGCATTATTAAATAGCATATTTCTAAATGGTGAAGGTTGCACTGGAGTTAAGCGTGCAGATCCTTAAAAGGAGAACACCAGGAAAATGGAACAGTCCTTGCAAAGGTCCTAAGGCTAGACCATTTCTGGGGTATATAAGGAACAACAAAAATTCAGTGTGCTTCAAAGTGATCAAGGGGAAAGAGTGTAGAGAAGATCAGAGAGAGGTAGTAGGATAGAGGAGAAAGAAAGATCTTGTTACTACAACGCTCTGAAATAGTTAACCATCATCATACTCATTCTACAGATGAAACAGATATAAAGAAGACAAGTAATCTGCCATAACATTATAACAAGAAGCAAATTATTTGATGCAATTATATACTGAAACTTTCACAGTGATTTGATTATTAATTCCTTTATGACCCTCTACAAAATATTAGATGAAAGATCAGAAGTTCTGGAGTAGTTGTTCATTTAATACTGCCTCTAATTTCCTTTCTCTGCAAACCAATATGACCATTTATAGGGCCTGTAATTTCATTACTTTCTTCAATTTCATATGATTTCCTGTAGTCAGAAAGGTAGTCAGTGTCCTTAATATGAGGCTTTTGATGAAACAAATCCAAATTTTGGTTTAGTTTCCCTAGTCTTTTTATATTGAGTTTTCTTAGAGATTTTAATAATCATATATAATATATGCCATCATATATATTCTTTATTTTTACATATAGAAATTCATCCTAAATTGTAACAGTGATAATGACATTTATACATTACCTCTGTACATGTGACTGACAATTTGAATGAATCAGTATAATGATTATAGGATTATTTGGCCCATGTTCATACTAACCATGCTTGAAGTGACTCACTGCCTTAATATAATTTCTTATAGAAAAACATTATAATAAAGATAATCTTATAGCTAGTAGACAAATAAGTAAGTAATAGAATAGTTTGAAAAAAAGTGAGTATGTGTCTAGTTTAGTGATCGCCTAGCTCATTCATAGACCACTCTCTACTTTTAGGTTAAGTGACTAGAGAAATTTGAAAGTCACAGTGGACAATTAAGTGAAAAGATAATTTAATGGTTCATTTTTATAATATTAGATTAATAGTTAAAAGAGCCATTATTTATTCTAAAGTAAATTTACTATATTGGGAATTTTATATTTACCCACTGCTTCGTATTAAATGGAACTGATTCAAATTTGTTGAATTTTTATGATCCATATTTTTTTAGCATTGACTTAATGTAGGTGATCTTTGAAAGAATAGTGCTTTGCTAGATTCATGATTGTTTATATAATGATTTGTTAATCTAACAGTTAATAAAAATGAGAAATTATATCCTTGGTGTTTCTTGTTGGTCTTCCCACAGAAGTAGTAAATATATAAATCAAAATCATGTGTGGTTGATGATTTTAATCATTTGGCACTGACATGCTTTTGTCAAGTGGGGGCATCATTGGTCTTTCTTAAATAAGCAGTATGTTAAGAATAGCTTGCTTGTTAAACGACATTAAGGGTAAATAATTGTTTTCCTTTCACCTTTCCTTAGAATGCCTCTCTTTTATGTCTGCCTTATTATCATAGCAAGCACTTTTAATTAATAGCAAGATTAAAATCCAGAAATACTTAATCAATTTCTTTATATTTTTCCATTGTATCAGCCTCCAAGTTACTGTCACAAAATGTAGTTGTTCTTCAGTAAAATAAAATGACATAATTTTAAGAACAACAAAAATTTGGAATAAAAATCTTACAATGTAGACTTAATTTTATTCCCATCATTGTAGTCTTAAATATATGAACAAGGGGGAAAGAAAATGATAAAGATTTTAAAGACATGTATAACTAACTCAACTAATATTTTAAAAAATAGCTTTCAGTGATAATTAAAATGTATTTTGAGTATATCCAAAATGAATACTATTGTGTACTGTTGCTACCAGTAACTGGTTATTGCTAAAAACTCTAAAACTATTTTGCTGTTATTAAATTTATATGCTTGAATATGATAATCATTGTTATTTTTTTAAATGCATACATATTATTACTGTATTTTTAAAAGTTGCTGTGATTTTGATCTCTCCTCTACTAACAATTTAGACTTTAAAATGCATTATTTTTAATCCAGTCGATAAGGAACCATGTTTATATGTGATGGCAATTGGGGGGAATTTTTAGTGTGTGAAAATTGCGTAGGTATTTAGCATTAAGTATTTAAATACTTTAACATGATGTTTCCATCAATAAAACTCTTTGCTTATTCTTATGTATAAGTTTAAAATCTCACCTATCTACATCCTTGTCAGGCAAATGCCATGGGCTAAAACTGAAGATAATAATTTAAGATTTATGTCTCCCTCTTGGATGTTATAGTTGTCATGAATTGACAGCTTTGAAGGACCTAAACTGACATCAAAGGGTTCAAATGATCTAGTTAGGTCAATTAATGTTAATTTCCATCTTCCATTAAATTCTTTTAATGTTTTCCTCTTCTCCTTTCTTCTAGCCAAGTCCTATACCAAGTCCTATTTTGGGGCGAAAGCCAAATGCTAGTCAGTCATTGCTTGTATGGTGCAAAGAAGTTACGAAAAACTACCGAGGAGTGAAAATCACCAATTTTACTACATCATGGAGAAATGGTTTATCTTTTTGTGCTATATTACACCACTTTAGACCAGACTTAATGTAAGTAGAAACAGTTTCCATTCCCTATTACATTGCATAAATAATAGAATTTCTTTTCTTTTTCTTTTGGCAGAACTTGGGATTAAACCCAAGGATGCTCCTCTACTGAGCTACCTCCCCAATCCATTTTATTTTATGACATAATCTCACTAAGTTGCCCAGGCTGACCTCAAAGTTGCGATCCTCTTGTCTTATAGCAAGTAGTTGATACTACAGGCATTATGCTACTATTCCCCAGTATTTACACAGTTTTTAAAAGAACCCAAAATCATTTCATAGAACATGTCCTGAACTACTTGACTTTATATTTCTTTTTTGCTAGCCACACGTTTTGCTTTTCTGAGAGAAGTATATGCCAGGAAAACTGCTTCCTTCTCAATACCTAAAAAACATATTTTCCCTTTTAAAAAAATGATTTTTTTCTCCTTAATCTTGTACAAGAAAACTGACTTCAAATTATTATGAAAATTGTGTTAATGTTAAAATGAGATGAGATAAAGAAGCCTGTAGCTCTTTCTACATTGACAACAGGGATTACCTCATGGTAAATTTGGTTGTCATGGCTAGTCTCTGGTCCCCTGCCTTAACTTCTCTTTTAGATGGAAAGCTTCAGGCAGTGAAACATGTAATCACTGTTTTTATTTATTTATTTATTTATTTATTTATTTCCTTAATTTTCCACACTATTGGTTTTGTTGATTGAATTTCTGTGAAATTGCTGGTTACTCTGGTATTATTGAATGTCAAATTTTTAGATTCAGTTTGTTTTAAAAACAGCTGTTTTTATCAAATACTTCATGTACCTACTGTGCCATTTTCTCCCTCAGTGACTACAAGTCTCTGAATCCTCAAGATATTAAAGAGAACAACAAAAAGGTAAGAAATGCCAAGGGGAAAAAATACATAGCTTCAATTTTGGCTTCTCTGCAGGTTTTTTATTAATTTGGGGAAAGTGAAGGGAGTTTTGGTGAGGTCATAATTGCAGCTCTTAGAAGGTAATTTGCATTCCAAAGTTCAAAAATAGGATACTTGGTTTACTTTGGTTTATCAGGACTTTAAAAATCCAAGAGCCAGTCCGGGATCAGATTACAATATATGTATGGTCTTCATTAACTGTTAAATGTTTGTTAAAAAAAAATAATGTTTTAATTGTAAGATTTAGCTTTTAAAAGTACACCCCAAACTATTGTGCCGTAACTTTCACATAACATGTTCTAACACATTAGAAAAATGTGTTAGAAGGAAATGAGAGCAGGAACCTGATAGGTAAACAAGACTTTTTACCTAGGTGACTAGGTTTGTAGAAGCAAAAAGATATAAACATTGGTTCTTTTCACTTTCTAGTAAACTATATATGTGTTTCCATATAACTAATTAAAATATACTGAGATCAGAGCTTCCTTGCTGGCATTTGGAGATATTGATCCTTTCAGCCTTCAGGGCAACTGCATAGGGCTGAGTTGCAAGAGCCCCAAGGGCCAGCTGACTGTGGCTAGAGGCTGATGTATCTGTTTACCCCAGTGCACAGTACAGGATTATAATTTTCTGTGTGCAAGGAAGGAAGTGCCTAACTCTGCACACGTTAGATACACAAATGTTTGTTTGTACTGAATTGAATTCTTCATTTGAAAAATGAATGAAATGTATTTTCTTGGAGTTTTTGTTGTTGTTGTAGTTCTTTATTTTACAATACTGGGATTGAACCCAGGGGAACTTTATCACTCAATTGTCCTTTTTCTTTCTTTTTTTTTTTTTTTTTTTTTAGTTTGTTCTAATTAGTTGTACAAGACAGTAGAATGCATTTTGACACATTGTAAACAAATGGAGCATAACTTCTTCCTCTGGCTGCACATGATGCAGAGTCACACCATTAGTTTAATCATACATGTATATAGAGTAATAATGTCTATCTCATTCCACCATCCTTTCCATTCCCACATCCCATCCCATCCCCTCCCCACCCTCTGCACAATCCAAAGTTTCTTCATTCTTCCCTAATACCCCCCACGCCTGCATTATGGATCAGTGTTCACTTACCAGAGAAAATACTCAGTCTTTGTTTTTTGGGGGTTTGGCTTATTTCACTTAGCATGATATTCTCCATCTCAATCCATTTACCTGCAAGTGCCATAATTTCTTCTTTAAGGATGAGTAATAGTCCATTGTGTATATGTACCACATTTTCTTTATTTATGCATCTGTTGAAGGGCATCTAGGATCTATACAGTCGTTTTTATTTTTTGAGACAGGGTCTCACTAAGTTGCTGAGGCTGATCTCAAACTTGAGATCCTCTTGCCTCAGCTTTTTGAGTTGTTTGGATTATAGGTATGTACCACCATGCCCACCAGAAAAGGAGTTTATAACTTGTGATCTCTGGATATAATTAAAGATGTCTTTGAAGATGTAGAGAAAAATACATTTTATTTTCAATTCTTTAAACATTAGTATTTTCTTCTATTGTAAATTTTGATTTTAAAAAATCATGGTAGTAGTAGGCATACCTTAGACTGTTACTTCAGAAATCATAGATTTATCCTATCTTACTACAGTTGTTGCACATTTCTACAAATACCTTTTAAGTTTATCAAAATCAGTTATAAAAAATGTTCTCATAAAAAGCATATACTTTACTGGTTCCCAAATTGTTTTGCAGTATTTTCCAGTGTAATTGGTTCTTTTGATTCTTATCTATTCTACAATTATAGAAGTGTCTGTGGCTAAAAGGGGTTCATAGGATAAAGTGGTTAAAGGACCACTAGAGAGAAAGGTTTTTTGGTTTGTTTGTTTGGGGAATCATGGATTGAACCCAGGGGAGCTTAACCACTAAGCACATCCCCAGCCCCTTTTGTTTTTTGTTTTTGTTTTTTTGAGACAGGCAGGGTCTTGGTAAATTTCTTAGAGTGTCACTAAGTTGCTGAGACTGGCTTTGAACTTGTGATCCTCCTGTCTCAGCCTCCTGAGCCACTGGGATTACAGGCATGTGCCACAGCACTCTGCATAGACAGTTTTTCATTTATTTTAAATTAGATCATTAAAACCACTGGTGATAAAAGTGTTGGACTAGGCATGGTGACATATGCCTATTATCCCAGCAACTTGAGAGGCTGAGGCAGGAAAATCACCAGGCTAGACCCTGCAATTTAGTAAGACCCTGTCTCAAAATCAAATAAAAAGGGCTGAGGGTGTGGTTCAGTGGTAGAGGGTCTCTGGGTTCAACTCCAGTATCATCAAAAAGAAAAAGAAAGTCTTAAAATTTTATGAAAGTTCAATTAAAAAATAAGAATTTAAAGTTGGGGACATAGCTCAGTAGTAGAGCACTTTCCTAAGTTGCAATCCCTCACACCATGAAGAAAAAAAAATTATTTCCAACAAAACAAGTTTAATACTTATGTTGTTATCTAAAACCAAAATTTATATGCCATTAAAAATTCTTATTTCTCTGAAAATTATTACCAGTAATAATACATTTTGAAACTGCCATTTTTAAAAATTGATATATGCCACCAAAAAGAGGCAATCCTTAAAAATTAGTATAATTTTCTCATAGAAATTAACTGTCTTGTAGGCATGCTATAAAAAGTAGATCATTCTCATGAATTATTTTCTGTGTGATTTTGTAGTACTTATTTCTAAAGTGAAATGCCTTTTTAATTAAGTAAATTATGTTCTTATATGTGTGCATTTTTTGCATATTAATAAAATGCTAAGCTAAATTAAATACAGAGATAAGCATTATAAAATAAGCCATTAATAGCTGATAGATAGCAGTGGTGCAAGCCCATAGTCTGAACTGCTCAGAAGGCTGAAGGCTGAGATTGGAGGGTGGCCATTAGCCCAGGAGTTCAAGACCAGTCTGGTCAACTAGCAACATCTCATCACAAAAATAAGTAAGTAAACAAACAAAGTTAAAAGAACCAAGTGGAGCTGCATATATATATATGGTGCTAAGGATATATGTGGTGCTAAGGATTGAACCCAGTGCCTCACACATGCTAGGCAAGCACTCTGCCTCTGAGCTACTGCCCCAGCCCTAAAGTGGAGCTTTTAACTAACTATTCAAATCTTTGAAAAGGAAACTATTGAGTTTCCTAACATTTTTAAATAATATAGGGAATCTCATTAAGGCTTAAGTCATATTTTATATTATTTTTTTAGGAACTTAATAATCATTTACATATTACTAATAGAGAAAAGTATCTCATTTAATTTTTTTCTCATACCTGAGGGTATTGTTCAGTGGTTAGAAAAAGTGCTTAATTTGTTGAGAACCTGGTTCAATCCCCAAATCTCAATTAGATTTTCTAAGACAGTTAATCGTGGCTTTTGGAAAGACTTTTAACTTTGAGAATTCTACTTATTGCACTATTCATTAAATAATTGTTAGTCTTTCCATTTCATCATTTGAAACGTCTTACCTTATATCTACATTGAGTATCTCAGTTGCTACCTGAACATTATTTCCACCTTTGTGCAGATCTTCCAATAACCCTGAGTACCTTTGAATGAATTTAAAGCAGCACAAGAGACAATGCCCATGTCTTAAATTCCACAAAGATCTGTAATGTAACTGGCAATGACTCCTTAAGGATTTAATTATACTTAGGAATGAATAAGACAATTTCCTTTTGAAAAATCTTTTTTATTAATACACAAACAGCTAAAAAGATAGTAGGTGACCAACCAGAGCAAAAGAATTTAACGTATATGAAAAAATTTTTTATGAAGTCTTGAGCTTGCATAAAAGAAACTTGATTTGTTTCAAAATAGTGATTTTAGTATAATTAGTCTACATAAAATGAATTGCTGCATGAAGCAAAACAGCAGCAGGAGTTTTCCTACAAGGAAGCTAATCATTTTCCAAGGTCTGCAAAAAGTGCTGAATAAAAATAATGCATTTACCTGTGGCATCTGATCTTACCCAGTATGTCAGTGTTTTAGATAATTAGGAAATGTTGAGACTACTGCCTGTGGTGCTTTTCCTGATGACTTGCAATTGATGTCTGTCAATCAAGTAGTCAAGACACACAAGGAAGAAAATGACTTTAATTTTCCTAAAACATGTAAAATACAAACAAGTCTATACACGCACACCAACTGAGTTATTCTCTCTAGTAAATATTTTGAGGTGCCTATATTATGAAGCATAGTGCTGTGAAAATTGAAGAGGTTTTAATATCACAATTTATTTTTCATTTTCTTTCTTACTTACTCCACAACATTTATTAAAGTACAGGAAGAATATGAGACAAGGATTAACTTCAAAGGTAGAAATGTACTTTAACATGTAAATTCAAAAAGACTCATTCCTTTTCAATTGTTAATAATTTCCTAATATTTCTTTTAAAGAAGAACTTTGAATTATGCTTCTAAATCTAGGTTTTTAGAAAAATAGACATTTTAACATCCCAAAGCAAGAATATATCTAGAGAATCCTTATCTTCTCTCTGAGAGTGTGTCTAAATCTTAACCATATTTTTAATGCTTCCTAGCAACACAGTTCTGTTTTCAAAGGTTAGTTCAGGATAGTAATAATTGAGAAACAGCTTTGGTTCTTCAAAACTAGAAAAACCTGATATGCCACAGTCATTTAAAGGCTAACAAAGTAATACAATGCAGCTTTACATTCTCAACTAGGTTGTAGTACTCAAAACATTTAATTCTCTCAAATGCATAAAATAAAAATGAAGTCATTCTTCTCATTATGAAAATTAGTCTTAATTGGGTATTTTAAAATGTTTATATGTTGGCTGGGCATGGTAGCATACATCTGTAATCCCACTAGCTCAGGAGGCTGAGGCAGGAGGATTGCCAGTTCAAAGCCAGCCTCAGTAACTTAGCAAGATCCTGTCTCAAAATAAAAATAAAAAGGGCTGGGAATGTGGATCAGTGATTAAGCACCCCTGGTTCAATCCCTGGTACCAAAAAAAAAAAAAAAAAAGTTTATGTTTCTAAGCTTAAATAGCATTTATTTGCATTTTATATCAGGTAGTCAGATAGTTCATCCTTTCGACTTATGCATCTCTGCGTTTTCTTCACAAATCACTGCAATTACATTACTGTGGAAAAGAGGTTGATAGTAATAATAGCACTTCAGATGGATTTAGTCTAATATTTCTTTATATATCTTGGTTCCTTATCTTAAAGAGTGATTCTGAGATATTTTTTTCAGTCTCATTTTTGCTTTTTTTTTTTTTTTTCTGGAAAGGAATATCTCAATTGTTGTGTAGTTAACTTTTTTTTTTCCTTGATTCTTCCCCACTTTTAAACATTTCTGACTTTTGGAATATCATTTATGTGACATAATGTTAGTAATGTTTATGTATCCTATACAATAACAAAAATATTAAAATGTTGCTGTTTGAAAAAAGGTATGGATTGTCTGTTATTCACTTTGTCTTGTGTTTTTCCTTTCTTTGAAGGCTTATGATGGATTTGCCAGCATAGGAATTTCCCGGTTATTGGAACCTTCTGATATGGTTTTATTAGCAATTCCTGACAAACTGACTGTTATGACTTATCTTTATCAAATAAGGGCACATTTCAGTGGCCAAGAATTAAATGTTGTTCAGATAGAGGAAAACAGCAGTAAAAGCACATATAAAGTTGGAAACTATGAAACAGATACAAACAGTTCTATTGATCAAGAAAAATTCTATGCAGAGCTGAGTGATCTGAAGCAGGAGCCTGATCTTCGACATCCTACCAGTGGAGCAGTAGACTTCTTATCACAGGATGACTCTGTATTTGTAAATGATAGTGGGGTTGGAGAATCAGAAAGTGAGCATCAGACTCCTGATGATCACCTTAGTCCAAGCACAGTCTCCCCTTACTGTCGCCGGACTAAAAGTGACACAGAACCCCAAAAGTCCCAGCAGAGCTCTGGAAGGACTTCAGGATCTGATGACCCTGGAATATGTTCCAATACAGATCCAACCCAAGCACAGGTTTTGTTAGGCAAGAAGAGACTATTAAAAGCTGAGACTTTAGAATTAACTGACCTATATGTTGGTGATAAAAAGAAGGATGTGACTCCACCCTTTATTTGTGATGAGATAGACCACCAAAAACTTCAGACTCAAGACGTCAGTAGTAACATGGAGCAAGAAACATTAGAGAATTCTAAAAACTTAGAATGCAGAACAGATGCTGAATCACCTATCAAAAAACCAAGTTTATCTCCTACTTCCAAACTTGGATACTCATACAACAGAGATGCAGACCTTGCAAAGAAAAAACGTACTTCCATGAGGCAGACAGAGTCTGATCCAGATGTTGATAGAACCACTTTAAATCATGCAGATCATTCTGCTAAAACAGTCCAGGTAAGTGAATTAGTAGAATGAATGAGTACTTACATTTAGTAAATAGCTATTCTGTCTTTTTATTTCATTTTATGCTCATAGAACACCTCAATATGTTACAAATAATTAACAGTGAAGTATAATTTGTCACTGTAAAAAATCTAAAATGTACCTGCTATGTATTTAAAGTTTATATTATTTCAAGATTACAAATCTCAAATTTAAGATTAAAGGATAAAGAATGTTAACTTTTCAAATCAAAATATTATCAATTATAAAAACAATATTTTATCACAATAATAAGTCAAAGATATTTCAGTTTTTTTATTTTAATAAGAATATCATTCTAGGTGCTGGGTTGTGGCTTAGCAGTAGAGCGCTTGCCTAGCACGTGCGAGGCCCTGGGTTCAATCCTCAACACCACATAAAAATAAATAAATAAAACAAAGGTATTGTGTTCAACTACAACTAAAAAATAAATATTAAAAAAAAAAAGAATATCATTCTAGGGACTGGGGCTGTAGCTCAGTGGTGGAGAGCTTGCCTTCCTTGTGTGAGGCACTGGGTTCGATCATCAGCACCACATAAAAATAAATAAATAAAGGTGTTTAAAAAAAAAAGAATATCATTCTAAAATGAAATACCCAGTTAAGTATTTCCCATTTAAAGCATTTTTATTCAATACTTCACTTGCATTTTAATTGGTATTTTTAGTTCCATTATTGCTTGTGGTTTAAAATCCAGTAGCATCTATATTTCTCCCCTAAGGGAAATATAGTGCAGTTTTGACCCCTTCCTTACTAATATTTACTGTATCGAATCTCTGGTCCCATCATCAATTATAAGATATAATATTATTTTATTTACAACAAAAAATTGCCAATAAAATTATGATAGTTTTATTGCTTAGAATTTTTATCTTATAACTATTGAAAGAACTCTTTTAGACTTAGGACACATTTTCATATCACATAAAACACTTATTTACTCAAAGACATTTTAAACAATATGAACGGATTAAGTTACTTCTAAAAGCTTTTCACATTTAGAATCCAGCTCTTCTGAATCACTTTTTGACTTAGAGTTGTTGGTAGTCCTATTTTTCCACACAGTATTGTCCTCTGTGCCATCAAAATATGGTGCTATAGCAAAAATTTTCAAAGTTTGGTCTTTTCACATCTGAGGCTGTCTCAGACCCTTTCAGAGAGCCCTCAAAGATAAAACCTTCTATCATAATGCTAGAACATTATTCACTTTTATCACTCATTCTCTCAGAAATGTATGGAAGTATTTTTTGGAGATTCCATGATTCCTGGTATTCATCAGATTTAATACAAATATGGGAGAATCCAAGCTGATTTTTTCTTATATTAAAGAGACTTACAATAAAAATTGTAAAATAATGTCATTCTTACTTGGTTTTTGTTTCTTTTCAAGTAGTAAATTTAAAACATATTAACATCTAATTTGTTTATGATTAAATGTGTATTTATATAACTAAATATATTTCTAAATGAAAAATTAACATTTACATTGTACTAGGTATTGTAAGTAATCTAGAGATGGGATTTAAAGCATACAAAAGGACATGCCTAAGTTATGCATAGTATGCCATGTTATCTAAGTGACCAGAGCATCTGCAGAAAATCCACAGGGGGTCCTGGAACTAATCTGTGGGAAGAGTATATTCAAGTGATTTCTGATGGAAATGTCAAGGGATTGCTGTCGTGCCACCAGAAGTATCAAGCAATATGTAGATAGACAACTATGTCTTGACTGTGAACTGAAAGACTGTGATTGTAAGGTGCCAGAAGTATTAGGAAAGAATATAGAGGCTGGGGAAAATAGCTCAGAGGTAGAACATTTGCCTAACATGTGTGAGTTCCTGGGTTCAATCCCCACCACTATGGAAAGAGAGAGAGGAAGAGTGGGAGGGCAGAAGGAACGGAGGCAAAGAATACTTCTTAGAATCAAAGAAACATAGTAGCTATCAAAGCAAGCCTCTGTTTTCCTAATCAAAAATCTTAAAGGTCTTAAGTAGCTAAACCCGTCTGAAAGTTTTCATGATCACATAGTGTTCATAAGTAGTGGATAATACACAGCTAGTAATTGACAACTCCAGAATCTGATGAGCCTTAGATGTAATATCCAATAAATAGTTTTCATATAAGCCAGATTTTTAAGGCAAATGTTTTACTTAAAGCTAGAAACTGATTAATAGTTAGAAATTAGAAATATGCAGGACTAAGAATCAGTAAACCTAGTTTCTCATTTTGATTCTGCCAGTAATTAGCAATGTAACATTAACTGTTCATTTAAACTCTCATAATCTTATTTTCCACGTTATGTTAAATGAAGTAATCTCTAAAAGCCCTTTTAGCTCTAAAATTCTTTTATGTTGTGATTCTATTCATATGACTAAAGGATGCACCATTTATTTATAGCTTCATGTTTGTTCATTGGCCATTTGTTTATGGGTTGAATTTTGCTTAAGGTGAATTAAAGGTTTGCTTGGCACTTGGTTGGCAAGAATAATGTCTTGACACCAAAAATTGTAATATGGATGCTGACATTTGGTAGGTTTTTAAGAAATTACATATGTTAACTGATAGTATTCTGTTTCTCTTTTTGTGCCCTATATTTTATTAATTCTCAGATATATATCTTTCTATATTTTAACTTTTCTGAAATCAAGATATTACTTATAATAGATAGTATATTGGAATTTAATTGGTAGTGTTTTTTCTTAGTAATAGATAAAATTGTGACTTATAATTAAGCATTAAATTATAGGAAATTTGGTAGCTTAATATGTTTTTATAGACTTAACAAAATTATAATGCTACTCATGTAAGTGCCTAGTACATGAATGGCAATTATTTATTTATCTTTCTTAAACTTTACAACTAATGAACTAAGTGGTTGAATAATACTTTATATGTGGGACATCTGGTGTTTACAGAGTAGTCTAAGGTCATATAATATATTTTAAAGTTTGAATTCCAAACCAGCCCTGTCTGACTCCAAAGTCTTTGTGCCTAAAGTTCACAATATCTCTTTATTTTTTATCATTTAAGCATTAAATAATAATCATAGCCCAGTTGTAAAGAAGTCAGCATTACTGATAGGCAATTTTGTAATGTGCATCAAGTCCTTAAAAATGTTTATATCAGCCACACATGATGGCTCTGTGTGTCAACTACTTGGGACATTGAGAAGAGAAGATCCACAAGTGCAAGTCCAGCCTGGGCAGCTACTTGGCAAGGCCTCATTTCAAAACAACAAAATGTTTATCTTATTAGATCCTATTTCCAGGGATTTTTCCTAAGGAGATGATCAGAATCATATACAAAAATTTACATGTAGGAGTATTCACAAAGATATTATTTATAGGGCTGAGTATGTAGCTCAGTGTCAGAGAGCTTGCATGAGGCTCTGTGTTTTCTTCTCAGCAGGGCAAATAAAAACATTATTTATGATAGTGAAAAATTTTCAAACAACCAATATATCCAATAAAATAAGTTAACTAATGTCTAATGAATACATCTATATAATAGAATGTTAGGTAGTCTATTAAAATCATATTTTCAAGAAGCATATATAAGGACATGAGAAAAAGCTCATGATAAAGTATTTATGGTACAGCACTTGTCTTAACATGTGTGAGGCCCTGGGTTCGATACCCACCACTGCAAAAAAAATAAAATAATAAAGTATTAAGTGAAAAAACTGTGATTCTACAGTGATGATCTCTGGATACCATGATTACTAATGATTTTTTTCTTCTTTTTACTAATCTCTATAATTAGTAAAATACAATTTTGTAATTTTATATTTTAAAATATACTTAGTAATTTTCTAATCAGAAAATAAAATTTATGTCTGTGTTTTCTTAAGACCAAAGCACAGTTTTTCACAGTCTATGTGGATGGGTTGAATCACTAAAGGACTATAGAATTTAGAGCTAATGGAGTCTTAAAGATGATCTACTCTCATTCTCCACATTTCAAAGATAAGGAAATTGAGGGATTAAGAAATAATAATAGTCAATATTTATTCAGTGCTTATCATGTGCAAGTGCTCATTGTGTTACTCTATTACTTAACTTTACACTATCCTTATGAAAGTTGGTCTGTTTTTCTCCGAATTTTATAAATGAGAAAATGGAGGCTTAGAAAGATTGAGTAACTTGCCTGCAATTAAGTGATGGAAGTGGCATTTGAACCCAAATGTCTGACTCCAAAATTCCTAATCATCATATAATGGAAGGCAGTATAGTTTTTAAGTGACCTGTTCATGTTGCATTGCTTATTATTAATGACAGAGGGATTAATTTAAGCCTGATATTGTGACTAAAAATTCAATGTTCATTAAACTTTTTTTCTATTTTGAGAAAGTATTGATATTATAACCAGTAGAAATGCAATGACTAATTCTGTTATATCCTAGCAACATTAACTTAGAATCTATCATTACCACTTATATATTTCATTTGTATCTATTAAGAATTTTTGTTTAATCCTCTTAAAATCTTGAGTGATGAAAAAGTTCCAGAATTAGTGGCAATAATTCATAACCTTGTGAATATACCAAAAATAATTTATTGTACATTTTAAGGAAAATCTTAAGATTATAGAAAAAAGGTTTTAAAATAGTTACAGTTTTTTTTAATTTTTTTTTTTCCTTTGGTACTAAGGATTGAACCAGGGATGCTCAGCCACTAAGCCACATCCCCAGCCTTTTTATAATATATTATTTAGAGACAGGGTCTTGCTGATTTCCTAAGGGAGCACTCAACCACTGATCTATAATGAGCTACATCCCAGATCCTTTTTTTTTTCCAGTTGTCAATAAACCTTTATTTTCTTTATTTATGTGCAGTGCTGAGAATTGAACCCAGTGCCTCACACATAATAGGCCAGCACTCTATCACTGACCTATGACCCCAAGCCCCCAGATCTTTCAAAAGTTTTTATTTCGAGACAGGGTCTCTCTAAGTTGCTGATGCTGACTTCAAACTTGGGATCCTCCTTCCTCGAATTATAGGTATGTGTCATCACACCCAGCCTAGTTATAGTTGAATATATCAATCACAAAAAGGCCCCAAAAATGGTATATTAATTTTTTAAAAGAGAAAGCTTCATATAATAGTAAAGTAATAAGTTTGTTCTCTATTTTCTTTTCCTTGACCATAAAAACTATACAGTGAAAAGGATGTCAAATTAATTAAGCATCAGAGTAAAGGTAATAGCCATCTTATGCCAGAAGTATGGTGCTAGGCATAGTGGCACCTGCCTATAATCTCAGCTACTAGAAAAGAGATAAGTTCAAAGCCAGCCTGGACAACACATAAGAAGCTCTCTCAAAATAAAATAAAAAGGATCTGGGATACATCTCAGTTATAGAACACTTGCCTAACATGTGCGAAGCCTCATGTCCAATCCCCAGTACCATACACAAAAAAAGAATATTATGTTTTTGGATAATGCCACCATTTAAGAACTGATTTTCATTGACGGCCAATATGTGTTGTTCTCCAAAAATACATTGTAAAATTACAAATTGGAGAATATTTCTCCAATTCTGATATGATAAATTGTTTTCTTATAAAAAATGTAAATAGTAGAGAAAACCAATTTTACATATTTATTTTTTTAAAAATATAGTAGCTTTGCATTTTTCTATAAATATTAATGTCAGGAATTTAAAAGATGGTTGCCACAGGTATTTAATGTCTATCTAGTACAAATTTAGAAGACACATTGTTGTCACTTCTATAAGAACATAAAAAGTCTATAAGAACTTTAGAAAATGTTTTTGGCTGACAGATTTACTATGTTTATGAGCACATATGAGGAATATGTAATTTACACACACCACTTATAAGACTATGTTCTAATGAAAGTATACTTAAATTCAATCCAATTTTAGACAGTAAAGATATTTCATTTATGTCAAGATTTATGTATTCATTCTAAATGTTTAGTCAACATTAATATTTTGTATAGGTAATATTAGTAAGAAAGCTAAAACCTTACTCCTGACCTTTTATTTCAACAGATTGTCTAACTTTTAATTCGTTTATAAATGTAGATTATTTGTTTGATAATGGATTTGTTTATTTCTTTAAATTTGGCGTCTAATTCTGTTTCTTTGCTTTTTAAGCATCGAATGTTATCCAGACAAGAAGAACTTAAAGAAAGAGCAAGAGTTCTTCTTGAACAAGCAAGAAGAGATGCAGCTTTAAAGGCAGGGAATAAGCAGAATTCCAGCACAGCCACACCACTCTGCAACAGGCAGCTAAATGATGTGAGAAATACTGGTTGAAAAAACCATAAGTTGTTCATTATAATCATAATCAAAATGGGTGAGAAGAGTAATTTGTTAATATTTTCTGCAGACTTTGTTCATTATGAATACCTGGTACACTTATTGAACTGATAAATTCATGCCTATCAGACCATATTGTCATCATTTTTACATAGCAATGTTAACAACTATCAGAAAAGTAAGATCCTAGAGTACAAATTCCATGTATACATTAATAATCTGTTTTTCGTTGAATTGCATTTTGTAAGGCAAAATGCTCAGTGGTAGAGCACTTGTCTGGGTTTGTTTCCCAGTACCACCATCAAAAAAAAAAAAAAAAAAAGTTATGATTGTACTCTTGTTTAAACTGTATTTTGTTCATGGAAGTTAATTTTGTTGTAAATAATAGTGTATCAATGATGCCTGTAATTTATTGAATGCCTACCATACATTCCAGGAACCATAATTATTATACTTAATTCCATGAATATATTCAAACTACTTATCAGAGTCAGTATTTAAACCTGAGCCTTATTAGATTTTCAGAAATAGTGCTTTCTCCTATTGCCATCCCTGGATTAAACCACATTTTTATACATGTTTTTATGTAGTGTTTCACAGACAATATAATGAACATATAATAATTTAAAGTCATTAAATATTAGAAAACATAAACCTCTTCATGAATTTGAAAACTGTGACAACCCTGCCTACCACCAAATTCACATGTACATAAAACTATAGTCTTTTTTAAGACTTTGCAGATATTAATTTAATTGTCTCTGACTTGGTGCATTGTTTCTCAAACTTCAACTCTTTTTTTTTTACACAATAACTTTATTTTCTTTATTTATTTTTATGATGTGCTAAGGATTGAACCCAGTGCCTCACACGTGCTAGGCAAGCACGCTACTGCTGAGCCACTCCAGCCCCAAACTTCAACTCTTTTATACATCTTGGAATATAGATCAGTTTAGTGAACTACCGTAACTTATTTTTAATGTATAGGAATAGAATAGAATAGAAAATATCAAAATTCATCACACTTTATTAGTGTAATATTTTGTGTGTGTGTGTGTGTGTGCGTGTGCGTATATGTTTGTGTGTGAAATTTTTGTTTCAGTTACATGGATATGTATTTTTACTAGATCTTGAAATAAACTGTATTCTTAACTGGGGCCAGGATCAAAAAAGTTTGAGAAACACTAATCTAGAGGACCATTCCTTCTAAGGAAGAACCTGTAGCTTTTATGTTGGGTTTTTCAGTAGCTAACCATCTTTATATAATCAATTTGTTGATTGATTCACTTGCAAGATACATATTTTCTTTAAAAAGATATTTATTGGTTATATAAATCAAGTCAATTCACAGTGACTGAAAAACATTAAGCTTTTTTCCTTCATGGAGTTTACATTCTGGTGGGAAAAGGAGAGATAGTAACAAGTAAATAAACACAATAATTACAGAGTATGAAAATTGTATGTGTATAGTAGAGGATAATTTGAAGGTAGAGGTTAAATGACCTGAGGAAGATATATTTGAACTGAGATTTGGATAAGAAGAATGTAGTCAAGTGAACAACCAAAAAAAGAATATTCATTTTTAAAAAGAACAATTTGTGAAATTAATATTTGTGACAATATTTCACAATTCTTTCATGTTCTAAAAAATATAATTTAAAAATATAGTTATATTCAAATATATACTATATCATTTTACCTATGTATAAATTTTACCTATTTTAATAATTGTTATCTAATGTTTGTTGAGCACTTGGTCTGTGTCAAGCAAGATTCTAAGTGCTTTCACATAAATCATTTAAACATCATAGTAAGTAGATAAATATTATCATTCCCATTTTACAGTTGAAAAAACTGACACACAGAAAATCATTGAATTGCCCATGATTACACAACTAATAAGTAACAGATCTAGGAATTGTTCCTAAACACTCTGACTTGAGATATTATATTCTTAATGTACTGTGTCATAATTCTTTTTTTTAATATTTATTTTTAAGTTTTTTAGGTGGACACAACATCTTTATTTTACGTTTAATGTGGTGCTGATGATTGAACCCAGTGTCTTGTGCATACTAGGCAAGCACTCCACCACTGAGCCACAACCCCAGGCCCCTCATAATTATTTCTTGTTTATTTTTCTGACGTCTTTGTGAAGGAAGAGTAGATATTAAAGTAGTAATTAGCTATCTGAGTTTGGAAAACGTGTTTAAATTTTCCTAGAGTAACAAATAATGCAAATTAAGCCTAGAATTCAAGTATATTGACTCTTAAGGCTATTTATTCTTTCGTTCAGTTTATTCTTTTGTTAGTTCAGCCTTTTAACAAATATTTCTCAGCCATCTCTTCTGTATAAGACACCAGTAATCTTACTTATACGTTTTATTTCCCAAATGAAACTTAAACTTTTAACTAAGTTAAAAGTGTGAATTCAATACTAAAAAATAATGACAGCTGGGCATGATGGTGCACCCTTATAATATAAGCAATTCAGGATGCTGATAAAGGAGGATTGCAAGTTCAAAGCCAGTCTTGGCAACTTAGCAAGACTCTACCTCAAAATAAAAAATACAGAGGGCTGGGAATGTAGCTTGATTGGTAGAGCACCCCTGGGTTCAAGCCCTAGCACTGAAACATAAAATTACTAAAACATCTTTTATTCCATGTCTGTGACATTTTACTGAATATATTTATAATTTGGACTTTTAAGAAACTCTGCGGATCAGCATTTATGAAATTAGATACTCTTTTACATTGTTGGAAGCATGGAAATTGCCGCACCTTTCTGAAAAGCAGCTAGATTTCATCAAGAAATGCTCATTCTGATCATGCTGAATGAAATAAGCCAAACCCAAAATATGAAAGGTGGAATGTTTTTTCTGATAAGTGGATGCTGATTCATAATGAGGGGGGGATAAAGGGACTTTGGATTATGTAGAGGGGAGTGAGGGGAGGGGAGGGGATTTGGGGATGAGAAGGATGGTGGAATGAGATGGACATTATTACCCTATATATATGTATGATTACACTACCAGTGTGACTCTGCACAATTTTCAGTCAGAAGAAGGAATAGTTGTGCTCCATTTGTGTACAGTGTGTCAAAATGCATTATGTATAACTAATTAGAACAAATTTTAAAAATAAAGGTTAAAAAAATGCTCATTCTGGGACTGGAGGTGGTAGAACACTTGCCTCACATATATAAGACCCTCCTGGGTTTGATCCCTTGCACCACAAAAAATAAAAAGAAAGAAAGAAATGCTCATTCCTTTTCATAGTAATTCCACAAATAAAAATAGATTTGCAAATTTTCATCACAATATTTTCTGTAGTAGCAAAAATTTCAAAGTGGCCTTATATGCTCAAATATAGGGGAATGATTAAATAAATTAATACAAATACATATATTTGTTATGTACGCATTAAAAATGATCTTCACTAATGTTTTGAAATAATATTTTAAAGACATAAGTAAATGCTCACAATGTCATTTTGTACAAAAAGATATGAAATAGTGTATTTTATATATTCTCCATTTTGAAATAATATAGGCTCTTTTATATTTACACTGAAAAATCATCAGAATGTTAACAGTGTTTATCCCTAAAGGGTAGAACATGTTTATGAGTTGTTATTTTTTTCCTTAGTTCTTTCTGTATTAAAAAAAAAAAAAAAGGCATATTAATTTAGGGCTGGGGATGTAGCTCAGTTGGTAGAGTGCTTGCTTTTCATGCACAAGGCCCTGAGTTCATTCCCCAGCACCACAAAAAAGCTACGTCCCACAATAAAGATATCTACTTTAAAATAAATAAATAAAGCACTCTCTCCCCTTCTCCCCCACCCCATTCCCTTCTTTAAAAAGAAAGAATTAAAATCATTTTTTTGATACTAAAAGAAGATGTTTTAAGCAAATTGTTATCTTAGCATACCCAAACTTGACTAAAGCAGTTTTACTTAAACTGGGGTTGTATTTCAGTATCTGTAAAGTGTATATATATACTTAAAGTGAGAGATATTTGGGGGCTGGGACTGTAGCTCAGTGGTAGAGGGGAAAAAAGAGAGAAACAGAACTCTACAGTTAATGATTTAAGTGCATGCCTAGGTATGGAACTAGGTATGGACTGAATGATTCAATAATAGATAGACTATTGTGAAATTGACAAACAACAATCATGGTATCTCACAAGATACCTCATTATTGGTTTGATAATGTCTTGGGTCAGCTCTATTGTATTTATGTATTGGTTGTTTTTCCCCCATCCATTTTCATAGCTGGCTAGCTACATGGCAGTTTGATCTGTTTGTTACATTCATTTCACATTTACCCAAAGGTGTGCCCTATGCTTGTGAAACTGTTTTTTGTTGTTGTCGTTGTTTTGTTTTGTTTTGTTTTTAAGTTTTAGGTGGACACATTTTACATTTATGTGGTGCTGAGGATCGAACCCAGTGCCCTGTGCATGCCAGGCAAGTGCTCTACCACTGAGCCACAACCCCAGCCCCTGTTATTGTCATTTTGTTTTGTTTGTTGTTGTTGCTGAGGTTCTAATCTAGGGCCTCACATACATTAGGCAAGTGCCCTACCACTGAGCTATATCCTCAGCCCTGAAACAAGACTTGAATAGTCCCAAAAATATTTCCATATCCTTCCTCTTTCAACTTATTTATTTTTGCATAATAAAACATTAACAACACAGTAGTGCATTAAAAATTAACATACCATGGTCAATTTGAATTTATTCTAAGAATGAAAGATGGTTTAGTATTTCAAAAACCAAGCAATGTAAATGACCATTTTAACAGAATAAAGAAGACTAGCGATAATTTTAATTGGAGGATACAGAAAAAAAGTGAAAAATATCACCATATTCATGGTTCAAGAGAAAAATAACACAATTCCTCACAAATTATGAATAAAAAGGAACTTTTATTAACTTGATAAAATGTATCTATTACAATCTTATAGCCAACATTATAATTAA